TCAAAAGATGGGTCATGCCCAGCAGTGATATAGAATCCATTTCCAAATGTTAAATCACTGGTTTTCCATGTTATTAGGTGAATAGCTGCTGTATTACAGAGTAAATGGGAGACTTTTATTGTGAAATTTGCTCTGGGGTGTGTTTTGAAAAGGTCACTAGAGTCTAATAAAAACAATCTGGAAGAGTTTGGGTCATAATGTTGAGCCATTTGCATCAATTATTGCATTAGTATAATCTAGAGGCTTTTATTTTGTAGGGTCCCTGGAGTCTTATTTTGAAAGTCCAACAGAGTTGTGTTTAGAGAAAATGTTCAGACCCAGCAATGATAGTTGATGACTTTCCAATCGTTAAATCACTCTTTTTTCCATGTTATTAGGGCAGTAGATGAAGCGGAAATGGGAGGCTTTTATTTTGAAATTTGCCTTAGGGTGTGTTTTAAACAGTCTCCTAGAGTCTATTCTCTAAAATGGGGTTGTGTTTGGGTCATAATGTTGAGCCATATAGGGCAATAAATATATGTAAAAAATATAGAGGCTTTTATTTTGTAGGGTCCCTGGAGTCTTATTTTGAAAGTCTATCAGTGTTGAGTGGCAAGGGAAGTGTCATGGACATCAGTCATATAGTATCCATTTCCCAATGTTAAATCAGTGCTTTCACCCTCCATTAGATTAATATGTGCTGTTTAAAACAGCAGAGGTAAACTCTGTTTGAAGCACGGTTACCTTGACAACGCTTAACGAGCCTGTCAGTGACAGAGAGAAAAGCGCAGCACTATCGTTCCTTAGCTCTCAGGCTTTTTTGAATGGGAGGAACAGCTCCGAACAAACGACTGCTGAGCAAAAACCGTATGAGTTATTCAAAGAATTTCTTCACCGTGAGCATCAGCAATCCTTCGACTCCAACTATGCCAACTTTGGTGTATGTGTGTCATTCAGAAAAATATTTATGACGAGTTGAAAACACATAGTGGTGTTCGTTTTTCTCCCCTCTTCTGCTCCAAAACCAATGAAAAACGGCTCTGATTTTCATCGACTTTAGGTCGGTCTGGAGCGTTTTTAAGGAAAAGTATTAATCCTACCGTAATTCTGAAGACACTGTGTGAGTCCAGAGATTTCAGTCTACAAACTGACCAAAAATGGTGACTGTAGCTCCAAATATGTGGCCGTGAGGCAAGAACAAAATCTTTTATCTTAAAAAAACGGCCTCCTCACAGTAAGATGTCAGCAGCTGCCCTCAGGCAGGCTGATGCAGAAGCTAACTGTTAGCTAGCTTCCAGGTGCTCCCCCTCCAAACAAACGACTGCTGAGCAAAAACCGTAAAAGGTATTAGAAAAATTCTTTCAGTGAAAGAAACATCTATCCTTTGTCTCAGACTGGGGTAACCTTCATGTCTGTAGGTCTTTCACAACCCAAAACGAAGCACAAACAAAATGGCTGATCCCACCTGCTCCTCCCTTTGTTTAAACTGCAGCACCACACTCTGTCACCTTTAAGCTGCTATAGCACCCCTCCAAACAAACGACTGCTGAGTAAAAACCGTAAAAGGTATCTGAAAAATTCTTTTTATCTAAGCGACAGCTATATCTTGTCTTCAATTGGAGTAACTTTCATGGCTATAGGTCATCTACAACCTGAATGGGAAGAGAAAGAATAAGAAAAACGGGTCCTCAGTCCTTAGCTTCTAACTGAGCTAGCTGCAGCAACACACTCTCACTCACCTTTAAGCTGCTAAAGCCCCCCTCCGAACAAAGGACTGCTGAGTAAAAACCATAAATGATATCTGAAAAATTATTTTTATCTAAGCTACAGCTATATCTTGTCTTCAATTGGAGTAACTTTCATGGCTGTAGGTCATCTACAACCTGAATGGGAAGAGAAAGAAAAAGAAAAAACGTTTTCTCACACCTGATCTTTTAATTGGGCTAGCTGCAGCAGGTCCCTCTCCCCCAGCTTCCAGGTGCTTACCCTCCAAACAAACGACTGCTGAGCAAAAACCATAAAAGGTATCTGAAAAATTCTTTCAGTGAAAGCAACATCTATCCTTTGTCTCAGACTGGGGTAACTTTCATGTCTGTAGGTCTTTCACAACCCAAAACGAAGCACAAACAAAATGGCTGATCCCACCTGCTCCTCCCTTTGTTTTAACTGCAGGACCTCACTCTCACTCACCTTTAAGCTGCTAAAGCACCCCTCCGAACAAACGACTGCTGAGTAAAAACCATAAATGATATCTGAAAAATTCTTTTTATCTAAGCGACAGCTATATCTTGTCTTCAATTGGAGTAACTTTCATGGCTGTAGGTCATCTACAACCTGAATGGGAAGAGAAAGAAAAAGAAAAAACGTTTCATCACAGCTGAGCTTCTAATTGAGCTAGCTGCAGCAGGTCAGTCACCCAGCTTTCTGGTGCTTAAAATGTCCTCCGAACAAACGACTGCTGAGCAAAAACCGTATGAGTTATTCAGAAAATTTCTTCATCGTGAGCGTCAGCAATCCTTCAACTCCAACTATGCCAACTTTGGTGTATGTGTGTCTTTCAGAACAATATTTATGACGAGTTGAAAACATATAATGTCATTCGTTTTTCTCCCCACTGCTGCTCCAAAACCAATGAAAAACGGCTCTGATTTTCATCGACTTTAGGTCGGTCTGGAGCGTTTTTAAGGAAAAGTATTAATCCTACCGTAATTCTGAAGACATTGTGTGAGTCCAGAGGTTTCAGCCTACAAACTGACCAAAAATGGTGACTCTAGCTATAAATATGTGGCCGTGAGGGCGATTTTAAAATGTTTTTTGGTCTTAAAAAAACGGCTGCCTCACACTCTAGCTTTTCAGTCTCTCCACTCTAGAAGGGTGGATTTTGCTAAAACTTTGTGGCGCTTGAGGTCTGATTATACAAAAACCGTAGCAGTTATCAACATACCGTCTTCAGTTTTAAATAGACGAAGGATTTATCTACAAACTGAGCTTTAAACTGTTTTTCTACATGAATGTATGCCGACACAGTGAGGTGCTGTTTTTTATGCTTTTTTTCCCTCTCCCCATTCATTTCCTATGGGATTTTTTTTGCGACGTTTTCGCTAATAATTCGCAAACCTTCGGACTAATGAGAAAGTTTTATACAAGCACGCATCGCACCATTGGTCCCTACGCGTGTGCCAACTTTGGGCCCGATCCGACGAATGGTGCGTGACTAGTTACACGCCGAAGTTTTTAGGGGACGAGGAGAACTATAAGCTATAATAATAATACGCGGAATAAATATGTGCAATAGTAATAGGTGGGCCATGCCTTCGGCATGTGGCCCCCCTAATAATACGCGGAATAAATATGTGCAATAGTAATAGGTGGGCCATGCCTTCGGCATGTGGCCCCCCTAATAATACGCGGAATAAATATGTGCAATAGTAATAGGTGGGCCATGCCTTCGGCATGTGGCCCCCCTAATTATCTTATTTTAAGAGTAAAAATAGTCATTCCATCGGCAAACTATCTCATTTACCTACTCAAATTAAGGGTAAATACACTTAATTTAAGACATTTATTTATTTCTAGATCATTTTTCCAGAGTGTTTACTCTCATCTAAAGAAACCCCTGATGTTTCTATCAGCTTTGCATCTCTAGAGACTTCCTGTTTGCTCTAGAGACTTCCTTGTCTTCTTCGCTACATTTCTCAAATACATACAGGTGTCTGTGTTGAAATCCATTTAGTTTGGATCCAGATATATTTTGATTAAAACCAGTGATTCCCAGAGTTTGAGTTTAAGTTATTTGAATAAATAAGCCAATAAATGAGCCAGAAGAATTGAAAATGTAAATATTTATTATGCAATGCTGAATTCTATTACACATTACTATAAACAGCAACAAATCATACAACTGCTTTTTAAAGATAGATTTTGGTTATTTAGCAATACTTAATATACTGGAGTTGACTTTTCTTTGTTTGATTCCTGGGAACAAAAGCGTTTATTTAAGCCAAAGTAGGAACCAGAGAGAAAATCTGAGAATCATTGTGATTGACTACATGTTGAACTTTAGCTCCACTCGTATGTTCTGCTAGTTATTTAATATTATTTGTTATTTTAATATTATTAGTGAAGTTTCCAGTCTAACTTTTTTCCGTTTTCCTAATTGTTTTTTATCCATTTTTATTTTACTACCACACGCTACCTGTCTTGCCTCAATACCACTTCAATGTTTTTTCCATTTTTTCCCATGTACATCATTGTTTTGTCACTGAAATGTGCTATATAAATAAATTCAACTTGTCAAGTTCAGCTGGCATATTTCTTTGGTATATTTTTCTGTTTACACACATTTGCTCAGTTTATTAGTGAATGAAGTCCGTCATGTATATTTACGATGACAGCTGACCTACAGTACTGTGCATGTGTGCAGAGGGCGAGCAAGGAATCAGCCAATTGCAGCCAAGACATTAGCACCTACCAGCATAGTGTGGAAACAATAAAAAAAATGTCTTAAGATTAATTGTGGGGAAAAAAAATATTCCAAGAGGGAAACGCTCTGAATACAGGAGGAACATCAGTTTTCACTGAAGCAGGAGATGAAGCTGCCAAATGCATTACTCTACATGCAAACAACATGATAGATAGATAGATAGATAGATAGATAGATAGATAGATAGATAGATAGATAGATAGATAGATAGATAGATAGATAGATAGATAGGTATCTTGGTATAAACTTATTTTATCATGATCAAATGGTTTTGTGTAGGCGTAAAACATGACTACGCACCTTTAAACGTCTGCCTCAGTTGCAAGTTTAGTGTCACTTTACACTTCTTACAAGTGTGCTACTTCAAGTTGATCACTTTCCACCAGGTTTAAGAGTTGTGAATACTTTTCTAAAGCACTTTAGTTATGTCAGTTCTCTTACTGCTGTCTCCTGTGATCAGCAGTCATTATCATCATTATACAGGTCAAATGAGAGATAATAATCCACAGTGAATCACGCTGAAAAAGGCGCCACTTACGGTCCACATAGGAGGTGAACAGCATGCGAAAGCGGCTCAGTCTGCTTTTCTCATCGGCCCACATCCGTATGACTCCCACGCCGTTGTCCAGCATCAGGTCGTTGGCTACAGTGCTACAGAACTTGGCCTTAAGGTTCTCGATGGCGCTGCTCCCGTCGTACACGGCCACAAAGTTCTTCTTGCACTCGTTGGAGTGTTCCATCTGGTAATCCATGAAGCGCAGGTAAATCTGTACAAACACAGGAGGTTGCAGTTAAGTCTGTGGACAACAGAAAACATGCAGTTCTTCACTTTGCCTTTATTTTTCATTTATGTCAATTTAACTTGTTTAAAATACTTTACTGCTGCTGTGTTGATCTTTCTACACGACTCAGTGACTAAAGAAGTTAGATAAGCTGCTATAAGTGAACTTCTTTTCCTTCTGACATGCCTCATGTTTCTGAATGTTTATTTGCATTCTGAACCAAATATACTGATATAATGGATCCATCATGACAATGAGGATCCTTGATTCTTGTTGTCTTTATTTAACGAAGTAAATGTTTTTACAGAAAAGGCGCCAGAACAGAACCGTCCTTCAATAATATACTGCAGGTGGTGATGACTTTGACTGTTTTTTTTGTTTTTTTTATTGTTTAGTTTTGAAGGTAAAGGTAACTATTTTAATGTTTATATTTTCCAGAGTTTAAATTTATGTTGTGGGTACGAATAAAACGGGGTTTGAATTTCATTAATTTTGCTCATGGATAATCAGGATAATCCAAATCTGTTGGTTGTCTTAACTGTAAAGACCATCTGTTCGGGAGGTCAAACAAAAATTAATTATGTTTTCCAATGCTGTATACATTTGTAAAATAAATACAGTAAATTTAAACAATAATTTGCGTCATAGCCATAGAGATCAGTGGTCACAACTTCCAACCAGTGTGGCGCGATGCCAGGCAAACAAAGCTGTGGGTGTGTCTCAGGGCCATGGATCCCAAAGAGAAAAAAAGGAAGATAGCTGATGAGAAAAGAGGATTCAAAGAACGGAGCGAATCATTTGCTTTCATCATCAATGCGGAAGGATTGCCTGCATTTTTGCTTTGTAATAAGAGGTTGTCAAACAACAAAAAGAAAAATTTGGAAAAGTATTTCCAGGGAAGGCGAAATATGCAGCCGACCACCATGTTGGGGGTGAGAGAAAAAGTGTGATTGCAGAAGTTCTGGATAAATTAGAGGAGCGCAAAGATAGATTTAAGAAGTGGATTACATCTCCAAACTCCACTACTGCTGCTAGTTTGGTTGCAAGGATTTCAAACTGTCCACAGATCCAACAGGCAGAGCTCTGATGCAGGGATGGGAACTTTCTTCCATTTTTTCTCCCCAAATCCTAAAAATATAAATCACACCAAGGAATGATGGTGACGGAGGATGTGGGATTTCACGGTTAGAGAGCTCTGCTCTGATGGATAGCAGTTCCTGCTTGGTTCCTCATGACTCAATAAACTCCTCCCAACAGAAACACGTCCACCATAGAAAGATTCCTTTATCATGTTTCTATAATTTCATCAATGCAACAAAACCTAAGCCGCGTAGTAAAGGGCAGTGAGGCAGCACACAGTGAGAACGTTCACTGCTCCTCCACCTCATGCTGCTATGTGACATTTCCTCCAGGAAAAACATTTAATCATGAATGCTTATCATTTATTTAAGCCCACATAGTCCTTTTCTATAGTAGGATAATACACTTAGTTGCCATACGTGTGCATTTTTGTGGCTCCAGACAGTTTTATTTTTTGGTCCAATATGGCTCTTTCAGCAGTTTGATTTACCGACCCCTGGGTCAGGGCATAGAGCTTGGAATCTGAGTTCTGAGTTCGAACCCACTCCCACAGATTGCCACTCTGGGTCTCTGAGCAAAGACCCTTTACCCCACGGGTAAAGGGTCTTTCCTCTGCATGAATGGGTTAAATGCAGAGGTAAATTTCTGCAATGTGAGATCACATGGGAGATAGAGCATTTTGTGCTGCTGCCCCACATCTGTGGAATTCCCTCCCTGACACCTTGAGGGCACCTCAGTCCATTGAGTGTTTTAAAAGAGGCCTTAATTTCTTTTTAGCAAAACTTTTGGTCCCCCTTAAATGTTTCTTTTTTCTCATTTAAAACAGCTTTTATTATTTTATTTTATTTCTTTTATCTCTATGTATTTCTTTTTTAATGCTTTTTTAATTGCTTTTTTGTAGCACTTTGAGGCCTTTTTGGTGAAAAGTGCATTGTAAATTAAATGAATTATTATTATTATAAAGCTCAATTATTATTATTATTATCCAGGAGCAGCGGGCTCTCTCAGTCAGTGACTCTATGGAATCAGCTGGGTTTCCCATGATTTAAAAAAAATCAGTCTGTATGATTTGACTAAATTAAAGTTCCCTGTTGTAGAAATGGTGCAAATTAAATAGATTTAATTTTATTTAAATGGGTGATATGTTACAAAAGAGGATTTCTTAAACCAGATAGATTTAAATGAACAACAGTGATGTCACTGAATCTCTGGCACATTTAGCACCCGGACACCTGTTTCCTGCAGCTGCTGCTATTGTGCTGCAGAGTGTCCTCTCTTCTCTGTTCTTTCTGCTTCATCTACCTGGCAGAAGAAGTGAGCTCCCCTGTTATATTGAGATCATCGTCTCTGCGGCCTCCAAACACTCAAGCTGGGCCAGTGCAACGTATCCGTCAGGTCAGACTGAGGGAAGACAGAGCCATGTAGAAATGTGCACAATGCGTAAAATATTACTTACATTATGTGACACTTCATTATGTGATTTGGGTACATCTGTGGCTTTACACTATTTAAATGGGCATTAATTTGGGTTCATTTTACAGCCAGTGAGCAAAGCAGGGGTTGGGATGAGTCACTTAGCCATGAGGGAGAAACAGAGCTGCTGTGAATCAGGGCTAGCCTGGCTGTGTTTTTCATTTCAATGAGGTTCCTCTTATCACAGCAAAAATATCGGAAGATGTCAGTGAATTTTTCACTCCTGGCTAAAAAAAACAAACAATAAAAAAAAAACCTCTTCTGAATCCCCAGAGGTTCGTTTTAAAAAGCTGAACATTTTGAGACGATAAAAGAAAATTAAAAGTCATTTTTGGATTTAAGCAATGCAGTAATGTTTAACCAGCGAGTAAAAACTTCATAGATTATTTTAATTTTGTTCTTTTTTTAAAAGATCAGATTAGTTGATCTTTAGCGATAGTTTAGTAGCGTTAGTCAGTCTAGTGGAATTACCACATTAATCCAACTATAATGGATTGCAATAACATTCATATATTTAATATGTGTCTCCCATATCTTATAACCTGACTCCGCCAGATGGATTTGCTCCGCATATCCATCTGGAAACCTTCCGTGGAAGTAATTTTCGGAAGGGGTGAAAATACTGGTTAGCTGATTGGCTGATCAGTTAGCTGATCCGCGAGCCACAGCTCCACTTTTGTTTATTTAATAAACGTTTTGAACTTTCCTACTGACTGTCTCTCCTTGAATACTGGGTCCATCTGTCCTCGGTCCATGACAAAAAGAAGTAAAGAGCTAAGTTAAAGCTGCAGCAAAACTTATTGTTCATATGTATCAGGGCAAATTTACAGAACAGAGAGTAGAAAACAACAGGTGCAGATGGGAAGGTTGAGAATGACCTTACTCCGACACACACACAGAAAAAGCTGATTAACAGGGGAGCAGAAAGGCAGGAAGCAACTCCATATTTGGAGATATGAAGTATGGAGTATGATCACTCTGTGGGACTGTCTTTTTGAAACTGTAAGATTAAAAAGAGCCGGTGTTGCACGCGGGGTCAGAGTTGCTGTTCGCAGATGCGTGCTGCTGGCGCTCCTCTCCGAATCAAAGGCGAATCGAAGCTTCGTTGTCCAGAATTTTTTTATAACACTCCATCTCAGTTAAGTTACCTGCACTCGAATTAACGGACCCGGGGAAAAACCATGACAGTGTTTTTCAACAGGACACATTTTCTTTGGCGTCCTTTGCAAAAGCGAAGAAAGATGTTCTTACTTTTGTCACCCACTGGCGAAACAACTGATTGTTTTGAACTGGAAATCTGTACCATCCTCACACATCCGTTGGATCGAGGACATGCTCTATTTTCTTTGATAGGTAGAAGTGGAATGTTTAGGAATCTTTGGGGACCATTCCTCGAATATGTCAACAAGTCTGATATCTCACTTATTCCTGACCCCAACGCTTAAAGGAATAGTACACCCAAAACATGATTAGCCTTCATTTTCTACTCACCCCCATGCTGAACAACACTCTGGAGTACTTTTTTGATATTTCAAATGCATCTGGAGATCTGGGAGGCTTCTTGCTGTCTGCTGACATTCAAATAATGGAGGTCTATTGTGCCCGAGACAGAAAGGTCCATAAAAGTCCACAAAAACGTGTCAATATTCCTCCATACTGCTCGTCCAATGTATTCCAAGTGTCCTGAGTGGGTAGCATCCAGAATTTACTCGAAATGAAGTCATTTAGAATGTTTTTAGAGCATAAACAGTAGTGTATAGGATTTCCTGAAAGCGTGCGCCAGCGCGTTCACGAGCCTACGGAAACCGCGGCAGACCAAACCAGATGAAAGTGCGCATTCAGCTCGGCAAAGAACTCATGCTCTTCCTCAACACTGAAGTCCTCAGACATTTTTCTTTCGTTGTTTCTTTCTTTGCACAGGTAAACAGCACATTTCTTCTTCTACGCTTGCATTATCGGCAGAGCAGACGCTGAATGCGCACTTTCATCTGGTTTGGTCTGCCGGCTTCCGTAGCGTCCTGAACGCGCAGGCGCGTGCTTTCAGGAAATCCTATACACTACTGTTTATGCTCTAAAAACATTCTAAATGACTTCGTTTCGAGTAAATTATGGACGCTACCCACTCAGGACACTTGGAATACATTGGACGAGCAGTATGGAGGAATATTGACACGTTTTTTGTGGACTTTTATGGACCTTTCTGCCTCGGGCGCCACAGAACTCCATTATTTGAATGTCAGCAGACAGCAAGAAGCCTCCCAGATCTCCAGATGCATTTGAGATATCAAAAAAGTACTCCAGAGTGTTGTTCAGCATGGGGGTGAGTAGAAAATGAAGGCTAATCATGTTTTGGGTGTACTATTCCTTTAAGGGGGGCACGCAGAAAAATGATTAGTATGCTATGTCTGGCTGTGTCTATGTCTATTTAAAGAGGTCTTGTATTTAGCATTTGCTGTTTGATGGGTAGGTTCCTTTTTTTTCTTGTTTGTCTTTGTAAAAAAAAAAAAAAAAAAAAAAACTACATTTATGTGAAATATTGTCTGAGATCATTTTGCTTAATAAACAAAGTTTAAAAAAAAAGAAGAAAAAAAACAGATAGGGATGCACGATATTGGGATTTTGGCCGATATCCGATATGCCGATATTTTAAAACTCATGTAGCCGATAACCGATACCGATACCGATGTTAAAGCTGGACAAAAATAAGTAGTCATTGAAAATAGCAGTTTTGTTATCCATTTCTGATACTTTGAAAAATAATATACTCAAATATATTTTCATATGCTGATATCAAATTGATTTTTAAAAACGCGGTATCGATCTATTTTACTTTCAAAATCTCGTGAAATTTAATCGTTCTGTTACAAACTCTCGTGATATTTTGCAAATTCCTGTGAGATTTTGTTAGTAAAATAGATCGATACCGCGTCAATATATCAACATATAAAAATATGGCAAAATTTCGTGAATTTTCGGGGGATTTCGTGGCATAACGATGACATATAGCAATATTTCATTAGTAAAAGAGATTGATATGGTGTTTTTAAATGGAAATATATCAGCATATGAAGATATTGTTATATTTTAATGTATCAATATTTTTTCCCTAGTCTTTAGAAGTTTTTAAGTCTGTAAAAAAGAAGTTTTTAAGGAAGAAGAAGAAGTAGTATTTTTTTTTTTTTTAGACTTTAGAAACTCAGAAGCTGATCAAATATCGGGTTAAATATCAGTGGGGTGGCCGATGTCCGATATTCAGTTTTAAGGCCGATACCGATAGGGGGCCGATTATATCGTGCATCCCTACTTTGAACTAATCTGAACCCCACTTCTTTGTAGACTTTTCAAGTTCTAATCACTCCTGCAGGGATGATTATTGCAGCATTATTCTGCATTCGTCTGGCCTTGGATTTGGTAATCATGTAGTTAAAGTGTGTATTAAGTGAGATTTACTGTTTTAGTGCTAACTGCTATTTGAAACACAAACCTATCACGTTTTTCAAAACATTTTCACATGTTTAAATGCTAATAAAGCACATTTAAAAAACAGTCAGGGGTCAGAGGCAACATGCCAGGAGAGAAACACTAATCTACGCTCCACTCAGCAGTAGAACGCTCCGATCATTCCTGCATTTTATCAGCTCTCTTATCAGAAGGACTCTAAACCGTAGGAAGAGAATGATGGAACATTTAACACTTTAAGCAGAACCACGCCTACTCACACATGGAGATTTTACTGCATTACATTTGCCACTGGCTTAATGCAAAAGAAAAACTCCAACTTTCAGACATTAAATACACAGCAGCATTGGATAATGAACTTTGACCTGCAGGTTAAAGGTTTGTGGGAAACATTGATCTTCTAATAGGAATAATAGTAATGGGAAATATTTAGCAGCAGGTAACCTCCTTAACTTAAAGTGCGTCTTTCTTTAATTTATTTTCTTCATCAGAATAACTTTAACCAGCTGTTTTTTTTTTTTTTGGTTCCTACCAATAAAAACATTCCTGAATGAAACAACTTTTCGATAATGGGAAGAATGGGGATCAGTTTTGTCCTTTTTCTGCTGAAAGCCTAGAAAAAAAATGCTTTTAACATGAATGCTGCACAGAGGAGGATCCAGCAAAGTGCTTCATAACATTCAAGACATTTTAGTCTTTTGTTATTCTTGGTTATAGTCAAAGTCTCAGTTTAATTGATGTTAGAGCCTTTGTGGTTAAAGTCATTTCAGTGTCACTTTTATGTGCTTAATCTCAGCATCAATGGATGGATAGATAAGGAATCTGGACTTGATTTAAATCCCCACATCCACAGAAAAATAAAAATGTGTTTAATCTTTAGGCAGTGAGGATATGAATGTTTATAGGTGATAAAATAAGACTGACGGTGACTCATTCTCACAGATCAAATCCCGCTGGTTTCAAGCTTTCCTGGTTTCTTTTTTAGATAGATTGTTATGGAAGCTGGGGAGTCAGCTGCCTGACTAATACGGTCCTTTGAGCTGACCTTAGACTGAGGGGGAGCCCTGATGGTCCAGATACAGTCCAGAGCATCACCAGGCTTAACTCGCTCTTCCTCCTCCACCTGACTGGAGCGAATAATCCCATCCCATCCTCCGAGCTCAAACTGGCAGTCTGCAGGAGGAGAGAGACGGGCAAAAGAGGTAAGAAAAAATGGATGAGAAACAGAAGGGAGACATGAAAATGAGGAACGGTTATGTTGAAAAAAACGCAACGCAATGGATTTGGTTTGGGAGTGAAAAGAGTTTAATGTTCAATAGAAGTGAGGACAGAAGATTATAGCAAATGACAATATAGAGAGAGAGGAACAAAGACAGGGAGGGAGAAGAAAGATAAAAGAGGTGCATGCCCTTTCGCTGTCTTATAACTATGCATATGTGCGTGTGCGTACATCCTTTGCCTTCATGCACCATTACTGGCTTGTCAGGCTACGTTTGAACATCCTGCATTCACATCACACTCAGAGACAGCCTCCAGTAAGCTACCGAGCACAGAGGAGCTCGGACGCCATGGAGCGTACCTGGGATGGGGTTCAGCAGTCCGCCCACGTGCAGATGGAAATCAGGGTCTGAAATGATCAAATTTAGGAGGAACATTAGTCTCGGAGCAGAAACGGGTTAGCAGAGAACACACGATCTGGTCCCACCGAGCCGGGCCAGATAAAGCACAGAGAGGTTCCTTTATCTCTCGCCTGATGGGAGACACTGATTTCTAGACACACGTGGTTTAGATGTAAAGGCTGTTAAATTGAGCTGCCACACAAGAGAAGCAAACGACGGACAGTCGGGAGCTTTGAAAAATTAAAGAGCCCATAGAGGCGATGGATGATCAAACATAGCAGAGATTCTTAGAAACTCCAATGTCTGATTCTGCTGTATATATTAGGCTCTTTGCAGTGAAGGTTAATCAGATATAGCTCCTCACTGATCTCACTAAGCACCTTTAGAGATGGAAGAAAACAACCCCCTCTCCCTCTGAGGGGGCTTTGTGGAGTTCACCGCTCACCTGCGATGAAGGTGTACTGAATGCGGAAGCCGAGGCCCTCCAGCTCCTCGTCGCTGGTGAACTTGATCCACATGAAGCGGCCTGTGGAGGTGACGAGGCCCGGGTTGTTTCCTCCGCAGAAGCGATCGATGAGCGGAGAGAAGCCAAACGGCCCGTCACGTATTTCGATGTGATCAAAGCGACATTGGAACGACGGCTCGATGTAGTAGTTCTTGTCAAAAGCCAGCTGGATCCTTTGTCTGGGGAGAGCTTGGGGAAACATAGAAGCAACACAAAGAGGGAGATCAATGAGAAGAATCTAAACGAACCATGCTTTTGAAAGAAAGATAATCTGGATGTTTTTTTTATTATTTTATGACAGATTTTGAAAATAAGTAGTAATGCGTCTGATTCTACTGTTAATTTTCAAAGTCAGCTTAGATTTAGATTTCTGCTGGAAATATAAATGAATCTGCAAATAAATGCATTTAGTCATGTTGCTACAAGTGTTTTTAATGTGTTCAATCTTCGGTGTTTTTTTTTTTTTTTTATAGATTTCATTTGAAAGGCCAAACCTACGGAAGAGGATTAGGGCCACTGGAAAAAAAAAAGAAAAAGTTAACTGCTTTTTAAATTTTATTTCAGTTTAGTATGGGAAAAAGTCAGAATTCTGACTTTAATCTCTGGATCTCTGACTTTTTTTTTTTTTAGAATTCTGACTTTAATCTCAGAATTTTGACTTTTTTTATTGTCAGAATACAGTCAGAATTCTGAGATTAAAGTCAGAATTCTGAGATTAAAGTCAGAATTCTGACTTTTTCTCAGAATTCTGACTTTAATCTCAGAGTTCTGACTTTTTCTCAGAATTCTGACTTTAATCTCAGAATTTTGACTTTTTTTATTGTCAGAATACAGTCAGAATTCTGAGATTAAAGTCAGAATTCTGAGATTAAAGTCAGAATTCTGACTTTTTCTCAGAATTCTGACTTTAATCTCAGAGTTCTGACTTTTTCTCAGAATTCTGACTTTAATCTCAGAATTTTGACTTTTTTTATTGTCAGAATACAGTCAGAACTCTGAGATTAAAGTCAGAATTCTGACTTTTTTCTCAGAATTCTGACTTTAATCTCAGAGTTCTGAGTTTTTTCTCAGAATTCTGACTTTAATCTCAGAATTCTGACTTTTTTTATTGTCCGAATTCTGACTTTATTCTCAAAATTATGACTTCAATCTCAGAATTTTGACTTTTTGTATTGTCAGAATACAGTCAGAATTCTGAGATTAAAGTCAGAATTCTGACTTTTTTCTCAGAATTCTGACTTTAATCTCAGAATTCTGACTTTTTTTATTGTCCGAATTCTGACTTTATTCTCAAAATTATGACTTTAATCTCAGAATTCTGACTTTTTTTATTGTCAGAATACAGTCAGAATTCTGAGATTAAAGTCAGAATTCTGACTTTTTTCTCAGAATTCTGACTTTAATCTCAGAGTTCTGAGTTTTTTCTCAGAATTCTGACTTTAATCTCAGAGTTCTGAGTTTTTTCTCAGAATTCTGACTTTTTTATTGTCAGAATACAGTCAGAATTCTGAGATTAAAGTCAGAATTCTGACTTTTTTCTCAGAATTCTGAATTTTTTTATTGTCAGAATACAGTCAGAATTCTGAGATTAAAGTCAGAATTCTGACTTTTTTCTCAGAATTCTGACTTTTTTTATTGTCAGAATACAGTCAGAATTCTGAGATTAAAGTCAGAATTCTGACTTTTTTCTCAGAATTCTGACTTTAATCTCAGAGTTCTGAGTTTTTTCTCAGAATTCTGACTTTAATCTCAGAGTTCTGAGTTTTTTCTCAGAATTCTGACTTTAATCTCAGAATTCTGACTTTTTTTATTGTCCGAATTCTGACTTTATTCTCAAAATTATGACTTTAATCTCAGAATTCTGACTTTTTTTATTGTCAGAATTCTGAGATTAAAGTCAGAATTCTGACTTTTTTCTCAGAATTCTGACTTTAATCTCAGAGTTCTGAGTTTTTTCTCAGAATTCTGACTTTAATCTCAGAGTTCTGAGTTTTTTCTCAGAATTCTGACTTTAATCTCAGAATTTTGACTTTTTTTATTGTCAGAATACAGTCAGAATTCTGAGATTACAGTCAGAATTCTGACTTTTTTCTCAGAATTCTGACTTTAATCTCAGAATTCTGACTTTTTTATTGTCAGAATACAGTCAGAATTCTGAGATTAAAGTCAGAATTCTGACTTTCTTCTCAGAATTCTGACTTTAATCTCAGAGTTCTGAGTTTTTTCTCAGAATTCTGACTTTAATCTCAGAATTTTGACTTTTTTTATTGTCAGAATGCAGTCAGAATTCTGAGATTAAAGTCAGAATTCTGAGATTAAAGTCAGAGTTCTGACTTTTTCTCAGAATTATGACTTTAATCTCAGAATTTTGACTTTTTTTTATTGTCAGAATACAGTCAGAATTCTGAGATTAAAGTCAGAATTCTGACTTTTTTCTCAGAATTCTGACTTTAATCTCAGAGTTCTGAGTTTTTTCTCAGAATTCTGACTTTAATCTCAGAATTCTGACTTTTTTTATTGTCCGAATTCTGACTTTATTCTCAAAATTATGACTTTAATCTCAGAATTCTGACTTTTTTTATTGTCAGAATACAGTCAGAATTCTGAGATTAAAGTCAGAATTCTGACTTTTTTCTCAGAATTCTGACTTTAATCTCAGAGTTCTGAGTTTTTTCTCAGAATTCTGACTTTAATCTCAGAGTTCTGAGTTTTTTCTCAGAATTCTGACTTTAATCTCAGAATTTTGACTTTTTTTATTGTCAGAATGCAGTCAGAATTCTGAGATTAAAGTCAGAATTCTGAGATTAAAGTCAGAATTCTGACTTTTTCTCAGAATTCTGACTTTAATCTCAGAGTTCTGACTTTTTCTCAGAATTATGACTTTAATCTCAGAATTTTGACTTTTTTTATTGTCAGAATACAGTCAGAATTCTGAGATTAAAGTCAGAATTCTGACTTTTTTCTCAGAATTCTGACTTTAATCTCAGAGTTCTGAGTTTTTTCTCAGAATTCTGACTTTAATCTCAGAATTCTGACTTTTTTTATTGTCCGAATTCTGACTTTATTCTCAAAATTATGACTTTAATCTCAGAATTTTGACTTTTTTTATTGTCAGAATACAGTCAGAATTCTGAGATTAAAGTCAGAATTCTGACTTTTTTCTCAGAATTCTGACTTTAATCTCAGAGTTCTGAGTTTTTTCTCAGAATTCTGACTTTAATCTCAGAGTTCTGAGTTTTTTCTCAGAATTCTGACTTTAATCTCAGAATTCTGACTTTTTTTATTGTCCGAATTCTGACTTTATTCTCAAAATTATGACTTTAATCTCAGAATTCTGACTTTTTTTATTGTCAGAATTCTGAGATTAAAGTCAGAATTCTGACTTTTTTCTCAGAATTCTGACTTTAATCTCAGAGTTCTGAGTTTTTTCTCAGAATTCTGACTTTAATCTCAGAGTTCTGAGTTTTTTCTCAGAATTCTGACTTTAATCTCAGAATTTTGACTTTTTTTATTGTCAGAATACAGTCAGAATTCTGAGATTAAAGTCAGAATTCTGACTTTTTTCTCAGAATTCTGACTTTAATCTCAGAATTCTGACTTTTTTATTGTCAGAATACAGTCAGAATTCTGAGATTAAAGTCAGAATTCTGACTTTTTTCTCAGAATTCTGACTTTAATCTCAGAGTTCTGAGTTTTTTCTCAGAATTCTGACTTTAATCTCAGAATTTCGACTTTTTTTATTGTCAGAATGCAGTCAGAATTCTGAGATTAAAGTCAGAATTCTGAGATTAAAGTCAGAGTTCTGACTTTTTCTCAGAATTATGACTTTAATCTCAGAATTTTGACTTTTTTTTATTGTCAGAATACAGTCAGAATTCTGAGATTAAAGTCAGAATTCTGACTTTTTTCTCAGAATTCTGACTTTAATCTCAGAGTTCTGAGTTTTTTCTCAGAATTCTGACTTTAATCTCAGAATTCTGACTTTTTTTATTGTCCGAATTCTGACTTTATTCTCAAAATTATGACTTTAATCTCAGAATTCTGACTTTTTTTATTGTCAGAATACAGTCAGAATTCTGAGATTAAAGTCAGAATTCTGACTTTTTTCTCAGAATTCTGACTTTAATCTCAGAGTTCTGAGTTTTTTCTCAGAATTCTGACTTTAATCTCAGAGTTCTGAGTTTTTTCTCAGAATTCTGACTTTAATCTCAGAATTTTGACTTTTTTTATTGTCAGAATGCAGTCAGAATTCTGAGATTAAAGTCAGAATTCTGAGATTAAAGTCAGAATTCTGACTTTTTCTCAGAATTCTGACTTTAATCTCAGAGTTCTGACTTTTTCTCAGAATTATGACTTTAATCTCAGAATTTTGACTTTTTTTATTGTCAGAATACAGTCAGAATTCTGAGATTAAAGTCAGAATTCTGACTTTTTTCTCAGAATTCTGACTTTAATCTCAGAGTTCTGAGTTTTTTCTCAGAATTCTGACTTTAATCTCAGAATTCTGACTTTTTTTATTGTCCGAATTCTGACTTTATTCTCAAAATTATGACTTTAATCTCAGAATTTTGACTTTTTTTATTGTCAGAATACAGTCAGAATTCTGAGATTAAAGTCAGAATTCTGACTTTTTTCTCAGAATTCTGAATTTTTTTATTGTCAGAATACAGTCAGAATTCTGAGATTAAAGTCAGAATTCTGACTTTTTTCTCAGAATTCTGACTTTTTTTATTGTCAGAATACAGTCAGAATTCTGAGATTAAAGTCAGAATTCTGACTTTTTTCTCAGAATTCTGACTTTAATCTCAGAGTTCTGAGTTTTTTCTCAGAATTCTGACTTTAATCTCAGAGTTCTGAGTTTTTTCTCAGAATTCTGACTTTAATCTCAGAATTCTGACTTTTTTTATTGTCCGAATTCTGACTTTATTCTCAAAATTATGACTTTAATCTCAGAATTCTGACTTTTTTTATTGTCAGAATTCTGAGATTAAAGTCAGAATTCTGACTTTTTTCTCAGAATTCTGACTTTAATCTCAGAATTTTGACTTTTTTTATTGTCAGAATACAGTCAGAATTCTGAGATTAAAGTCAGAATTCTGACTTTTTTCTCAGAATTCTGACTTTAATCTCAGAGTTCTGAGTTTTTTCTCAGAATTCTGACTTTTTTGATTGTCAGAATACAGTCAGAA